TTTGGGTCTATCTTGCCTCATCTTTCCTGCTTGGCTTGGCTGCTTCGATCGGTTGATTTCAATAATAAAGCCATTGAATTTTCTAAAATGATCTAGTAAAGCAAAGGTTGTGGGTATAGTATTTTGAATTATTTGCTACTACCTCCAGCCTCGAATGATCCATGTTTATGCATGATATTCAATTTTAAACTACTAGCGGAATCTCCGTAGCATAACTACGGATTAAAAATATGTTATGATACTTTTTAAAATGAAATGTATTACGCATCTTTATGCTAAACGGAATATATATTCACCTTAATTTAACTATCCATTTAGATTTGGTTAATTTATAATATAAAAAAATTGAAGGGGCAATCCACAAAATTACAATAAAAGTAGGTTAAGGTGACAGATACCCTGTCGTCATCGTCACTATATTCTTTTAAAGTAGCAACATAATGATTTTCTATACTACTTTTCCAATGATAAAGCAGTAATTTCAAAGTAGTAAAGATGGCAAAGCAGTAATTTCAAAGTACTATAGATGGTTACTGCTCATTGCAAAAGCAGTAAATAATTAACCTATGTACACCAACTATTTCTAGTGTAATGAGCTCACAATTTCATTATAACATTGTTGACGAGCATCCCACATTTGGGTTGTCTCATGTTACACTCACTGCCTTGATCTTTGAAAACATTGTCTCACAACGTTAGGATCGATTAGTATTTGGATTAGGCCTCACAAGTCAAAACCTAAGTATTTATCATATGCTATAGCTAATTATAAAAAAAAGTTAACAGTTAGACATGTCCTTTGGTCTCTGGACAGTGTCTGATCAATTGACTTAATTGTCGAGCTCGATCGAGCCTAACATTTCGATTACGGTATTTCTAGCACAGTGCCACATTGTTGCTATAAATGTTGCCTTATTACGGCATCGAAATGTTAATCAATTTCGATTAACACAGTAATGCACAGTAATGTGGCAATGTGATTACAACATTGCTACTGTAATGCACAGTGCCACATTGCTATAGCCTAACATTTCGATTACGGCATTGCTATAGCCGATTAAGCCGACACAAGACAGGACAGGTACATAGGTCTAATTAATCCATCAGATAATTAAGGCCATATATTAGTACAAAATTGGACATAATTAAATTCATTGCCTAAGATGTTTGCACTGGATTCCAGGTGCATGCTTTCCTCTCTCTCTCTCTGATTCTATTTCAGTTAAGTCAAAGATACCAGGAAGCTAGCTAGCACCATTGTTTTTGTTTTGCATCACTTTCTTCAAGGGTTTGAACCCTCGTTTGTCTTTACCGGTGATAGAATTAGTGCGTAGTTAACTTAACCATAACCACAAGCTTGTGTTCTTTACTCTAGAAATTTGACTCAGGGACAGTGATAATTAACATACTCTCAGTTATTTTAAAAATTGATAAAATGTCATTTTTTAAAAATCTACTACTACTTCTTTACAGTTTCACTGTGGACGTTTCTGCTTGTCTTCATCCTGCAATAGTCATTACTCATTAGAATTCGGTACTGCAGTTACATCAGCTACTTTCTCGTTTGTACATACATACATCAGCATAGTATAGTAGTAGTACTCCTAAGAGCAGGTACAATAGTAGACTATTAGCCAACTGTAAACATATTTTAATGAGATAAAAGATGAGAGAGAAAAGTAGCGGGCTACAAATCTGTAGCCAGCTGTAGCGCGGACTCCAAGACGCAATGTGTGTATGACAGATGAGACCATATATTAATAGTATAGCAAGCAACTATTGTATGAATTGGCTATTAGATTGGCTATAGATAAATTGGAGTAAGTAGTGGGCCATACTATTAAACTTGCTCTAACAATCTTTATTCAGTTGAGTGCAGCTATCTATAATTCCTAGGGCAAAGGGCTTGATTGTAGGCTGGCAAAGGTATAAATTCATGAATCATGTGCCCAATCATAGTTTACTCAATGCTTATCACAAGTTCAGAAACACAATTACTTTTCATGGATCCTGCAGCTACCTTTGTGGGGCTGTGTACTGTATAGTACTACAGTGCATGTGATGTGCAGGCTACCCCAAACTGGAAGAATAGTGGTTGCTACTATTTGCTATACCACAATCAATCTCCACTCTTCATTTCAAATTATTTGTCGTTCCGGTTTTATTCTAAATTAAATATTTATATATTTGATAATCGCTTTCTAAAAAATTATATGGATTAATTCTATTAGATTTACATTTATGGATTTATCGTGAGAAGTGCTTTCATAATATATATATATATATATGTATATATATATGTATATATGTATATATATATGTATATATGTATATATATAGTTCACATGTTGCTTAACTATACAAATTTCTAAAAACTAATAGTAGAATATAAATATTTGATTTAAAACAAAGCTTGAATAATAAGTAATTTGGAACAAATGGAGTAAGTTATATGGAAGGCCCTGTTTAGATCCCACCCAAAAATTTTCACCCTGACACATCGAATGTTTGAACACTTATATGAAGTATTAAATATAGGCTAAAAAAATAACTAATTGCACAGATTGCGACTAATTTGCGAGACGAATCTTTTAAGCCTAATTGCTCCACGATTTGATAATGTGGTGCTACAGTAAACATTTGCTAATGGTGGATTAATTAGGCTTAATAAATTCGTCTCGTGGTTTACTGACATATTATGTAATTAGTTTTTTTATTAGTACCGAACACCCCATGTGATACCCTATATAATATCCTATGTGACACGCCAAATTAAACTTTACACCCCTGGATCTAAACACCCCCGAAGTTAAGAGACCTCATGTAGCTACTCCCTCCATCCCAAAATATAAGCATTTTTAACTATGAATCTGGATAACTGTGTTTTCAAATTTATAGCCAAAAGTTGTTATATTCTCGGAGGGAGGTAGTAGCTAGCTAGCTAGGAGCCTAGGAGGGTCCTGATCTTGTTGTGTTGTGTGATGGTTGATCTGAATCTGATGGGACCAGACCGGACATGTTGCTAGCTACAGATCTTTTTCAGTTAATTGTTCAAAGATTTGATGAGAGCACGATGCTGGAATTGAGGGGAGCTGGTTGTTTGGTCTTGTGCATCACCATCACCAAACTTTGTTTAGCTCACCAAACAAACACACATGCATATGGATCACTGTGGAGAAATTAATTAATACTATCCTAAATCTTCCATTAAGGTCAACTTGAACCCAATGAGAGCTATAGCTAGCTAGCCAAGTTTAAGCACTGGCAATAATGCTGCTTTAGTTATTAATAATTAAGTATAAATGGCAAGCTTTGCACTAGCAAGAAACAGATGCGTCTTCTTTCTTGTGTTTGTTGGTAGCGGACTGTGGAGTGCATGTTCAGAGTTTCAGTCGCACGCTGCCTGCTTGCCTGGGATCCTGGAAATGATTCCTGAGATTCCAGTGCACTTCAGTCCAGTGGATAATATTCTGGTTTCAGTCAAGCTGTGTGTAAAACAACTGTGAACAGTTGTGGATGCCGGGGCCTTCGACGACGTAATAAGGATCATGAAATAAAATCCAGTCAGTGCAGATTTGCTTTTGTATTTTGTTTATTATGTTGCCGGTGCTAGAGATTCAGTGCCATTTTTTCTTGGAAGCAAAACCAATATGTATTCTACCATGAGTGGTAGAGCAAAGATGTAAGATAAAATGAAGGATCAGAGAAACTCTATCTGGGGTTGAAACCAGGGAAAAGAAAAAAAAAGAACTATCCATATTTATATGAAAAAAAATATGTTTAAAGGTGCTCATAAGAATATGATGTATGTATATGCGTTTATAATGTCCATGCGTGAGTATTAGTGTCTATGTTGGTGTTTGTATTGTTATTATAGAGACAAATCAATTTTTAACTACTACCGCCTCCGTTCTCGAAAGGATGATCATTATTTTATCAGACTATATATTTGTAAAAGAGTATTAATAATATAACCATTGGCCTGCTCGGAAGACATGTATTCGGTCCAAAACGGGTGTAAATCATGGCCATGTTTCTCTAGTAAAGTTAAATCCTTGATGGGCCGTAACACAACAAATTTCCACCCGTTTTCAGCCCGATCCAGCGAAAAATAAGTGTGGGCTAAGGAGGTCACACTTATTTTCGTGAACATCGGGCTCGGCTCACTAGGCTCGACTCTCCATGTTGATCAACGCATAAAAGATAAGGGAGTTTGGGCTTGTTGATTTGCGGTCTTCATAAGAGCTGGCCTTGATGATTTGCACGGCTAAACCATAAATTTCTTTTCATTCCTCCTATTTCTCTAATTTGATGTTGTTTTGATCTAAAACCTTCGATGCCTGGGATATCATACGAACCGAGAACATCTTTGTTGCTAATTGGGATGAACCTGAATTTTCTTTTCATTTTTCCTATTTTAGCTTATCCCCCCCCCCAAAAAAAAAAAACAGATTGTCCTGCATTGTTTTTTATTTCACTGGTAAAGTTGGGGCACCATTACAGGTGCAAAATTTTTCGGTGTTCCCAAGCAGGGCCTACATGATAAAATTTTGATTACCTGTACATTCATGATGCATGGATGAAATGATATACTGTATAATTTTTCACCAAAAAATAATGTATAAAATTAGACAAAATCATTTTTACAAATTTATTTCACAGCGACCAAATTTATATATTTTTCTTGGGGAAAGTTCAGATTGATAGTTCAAAGTTGGGAGGGATCCGGTTTAGCCGTATACCATTGATTTTTAGACTTGCAGAAAAGTTCAGCGTTGATGATGCGAGGGTGTGCAGATTTTCCGAAGAGAAGATAATCCGATTGAATGGAACGACGTTGGTGATCCGACTAGAGACGTTGCGCGTTAGCAATCATTACACTAACTCTAGAGACAGTCTTGAATCTGAGCGGATGCATAATCAGCCTAACCACAAGAGTGATTGTTTCTGTAAGCAATCGAGAACTAGAAACAATAAGATAAACAAGCAACTCAATTTACGGAATAAAGATGTAGGATTAAATCAACAAGAGTGTCAAAGGTGGGGTTCCGTAACGAGCAAAACGGCAATCTAATTGATCACAAGATTACACGGCAAAATAGCGACACTAAACTTTGATCTAAACAAAACCCGAGTTGATCTATGGCGGCTAAGGGAAATATATAGGTGGAGAATGAGTTGGGGTTGTCCTCTAACTATAAGGCGTGTCTCTAACGGACTCAACTTGGTACGCATCATATTCGACCCAAATAAGGTGACGTAGCACCGTGGACATAAAAAAGTCTTTGTAGTAAAATGATGATTGCAGACTCTCCAGAATAGATATGGACATGAGGATGGATCCATTTGTACTTACATGCCCAAAATGGAGTTTGTATGAAGTCGTGGCAGTTGTCACAAGTTGTGATGTCCTTCAGTCCAAATCCAGCCCGCGCAAATCCTCTCCCTTTTTGGTCCTCTCAATCATTTCTAAGTAAAACATGAGTACACATGTCACACCCTGAAGTTTCCCCTTTCTCTAGCCTTAATTCAGTTAATAAATTGCCTCAAGAAATAATTTAATTTAACCTAGAGCTAAACCCTAATTAATAAATGCAATTAATAATCGAAAATGACATGGTGGGATTTTTATTGAGTTCCCCATGTTTAAATATATTAACATGATTTTTAGTGGAATTTTTAGAGGCTTGGAAATAATTTTAACCAATTAAAATCAATTCTCGGTAATAATTAAATCCCAGCAAATCCCTTCTCCTTTTTCCTTTTCTTAGGCCATCAGCCTAGTCCGCCTCGCCCACAAGCGCCCTCCCACCTAGCTGGCCCAGGCCGAGGCCGTGGCCCAGTCGGCGCCCGCCTCCTTCCCGCTCAAGGTCACCGACAGGTGGGGCCCACTTGTCGGCCCCTTCCTCAATCTCCAGCCAGTGGAGCCCCAGCTCTAACTGCTGCCGCCGCTTCCTCCTCTCCACCCCACGCCCCCACTCCGCACGCACGCGCCATGCCCACGTTGCCTGCCCACTCCCTCGCCTTTCCCATACGTGTCGTGCCTGCGAGATGGCGGCACGTGCGCGCGGCCATAGGGCCACCTCTCCCACGTCGTCGGCAAAATAGGGGCACCTCCTGGCCACAAACTCCTCTCCTCGGACCTATAAGATTCTCTCCCGCGCCCCCTCCTTTTCCTCACTCGCCACCTCCTCCCGTGCCTTCTATTGCGCCCGCGCTATCACACCCACCGCCACCGCCTTCGGCCGCAGCTAGCCATCGAGTCGTGCCGTCGCCACCGTTGGTTTCGCGAGGTTGAGGGCTACCGGTCCAATTGAGTGCACTTCTCTAGTTTCTCGTATAGCTTATGAAGTTGGGTTAGTGTCGGATGCTCAAATTTCTTACATTTCCACACCCCGTTCATATGTTAATGAGGCATATTTGGTGCAAGGCCATACACTCAAACATGGCCCGGATGATTTGCTTGTATTTTTCTTCCTCGGCTATACGAATGAAATCACGTTACCTAACTGGGGTTCTATTTGTATAATTGTCGAGTGCTACTATTCCTCTCCAATTGATAGAGGAATCTTGTACAAATGATTTCCACGCAAGGTGACGTGAAGCATGGCAAGAGTGACACCTTAAGAGGTGTCATCCTCTTCACCGGCAGTGCAGATGTATGAGGCCGATTGAGCCCCAACTAAGGATGCCCCCGGTTGGACACAAGGTCCTCAACATGAGGCCGGAGGTTCGTCTTGGCAAAGCGCTTCTCCAGTTCAAGTGGCCTACCTCCCTCCACCCGATTGCGTTGCTCTGTCTCCTCTCGAGGGTATTTATGTGAACTCACTTGGAGGATATGCAATCTTGAGCTGCAGGCCAGAGATATCCAGCACACGCTCAAGGAACATGTCATGCAGACACATGAGTGGCAACAAAATGTTGATGCACAGCTCTCCAACTTCAACAACACGATGCAGCAACAATAGGCCGACTGGCAGGCCCACTTTCGCCACCAGGGGTTCAGCCCCTACCTTGGACCATGAGCAAGAAACAAGCTTGGGGGGAGATGCCTTTCCCCCACTGAGGTGACTTGTATTATTACCCTTCCATATTGCATTTTCCCCTTCATGTTGCATTTATAAACTTGAAAACAAAACAAAAATTTGCAAAATATAAGAAGAACAAAAATATAGGTTAGATTTTTATATGCTATGTAAGTGCCCTTTGGTATCAAGAAAATATAAATTCATAAAGTATATTGATGGAGTGTATAAATTTATTATATGTGACTATTATATTTATGAGTTTATTCTATGAGATATTATTTAGCAAAAATATTTTTTATCGCACAATAAAAATAAATTATCATAAATAATATCTTGCGTAACAAAGTCATAAATAATATTTATGATAATTTATTTTTAGGTATGACATAAAAATAAAATTTATTTATTAGTTATTAAAAATTATTTATTTAGCATGTAAATATATTTATCTTACAAAAATGTCGTACTATTATAACAAAATATGTTATATATACAGTTTTTAATGGTAAAAAATATTATTTTTTATTATATCTAAAAATAAATGTTGTCATAGATAAAAAATATTTTTGTTTTGCCTTCGCGGAGGTGAAACTAAAATATTATTTTTGTTAAATAATATCTCACAAAATAAACTCATAAATATAATAGTAGCATACAATAAATTTATACACTCCATCAATATACTTCATAAATTTATTTTTTCTTGATACCAAAGGGCAAAATAGACTTTATGATAGGAATTTAACGGTCAACTAATGTAAGGGGTATAGAAGGGATCCAAACTTAAATTTAGGGGTATGGAAGGGAATGAGCAAATCTCAGGAGTATAAAAGAGGTTAGGTGAACTTTTAGGGGTACATAGGAAATTTTCTCAGAAAGTATCTTCAAATTTAGTGTGTCTTCTCTCTAAATAAACAAGAATAAGTCATATTGTCTCCTTCTAAAATGAAGTAACCAAATTATGAATGAAATGTGGTACATAAAGGGTTTGTTTGGCACAGCTCTAACTCTAGCTCTACCTTTTCTGGAGCTGGAGGCCAACCAAACGATTTCAGCTCCACCCAAAAAGGGAGTGGAGCCGACTGGAGTTCTCTTACAAAATAAACTAGAAAGGTGGGCCTGGGTTTAGGCAGCTCCATAACTCCACTTTAAACCCAGTTCCTAGAGTTAAGTGCTTGTTTGGTAGAGCTCCAATTTTTAAATTTAACTACAGGAGTTGGGTCTGGAGTAGAGTTGTGGAGCCACCTAAACCCAGGTCCACCTCTCTTTTTCATTTTGTGAGAATGCTCTACCTAGCTCCACTCTTATTTTAGGTGGAGCTAAAACTATTTTGAGCTTTAGCTCTAGGAGAAGTGGAGCTGGAGATGGAGCCGTATCAAACAGGCTCTAAATTTAGGTGCTGAAGCCCTACCAAACAGTCCAAACTATTTTATTTTTTCCCAGTCCATTTTCACACATGTGTTGGATATGACATGCAAGTAAAAATTATTACCACATCTGTCCTAAAATATAAGGATATTTAGGGGTGTACACGATTATTAAGAAAGTGTGTAGAATTTTTTATGGTAGAAAGTAGGTAGAATTAAATAGAGAAAGATTATGATTGAATGAGCAGTGGAGATAGGTGAAAAAATTGAATGGTAGAGGATTATGATTGGTTAAAAAGAGAATGTTGGTGGAGAGTATAAGAATTTTTAGGGTTAATATAGTTATTAAGAAAATATGTAGAATTAAATGAGATTGTGATTGGACAAGAAATAAAGGTAAGTGGAAAAATTGAATGGTGGAGGGTTCACTACAACATGATAGATTTTCCTGGATGCCGCCCCCTTATGTTGCCATGCGGTCCGTAAGTGGAACCGCAAGGGAAAATAGGGGGACCGGTGCCGAGCTGTCTCTCCCACGGGAAAACGCATTATCCCGTGCGGGCGGCTTAAGCCAACCGCATACGAAAATAAGCATATTTTCACCCGCACGCGAAAATAGCCCACCCCTTTTAATCCGTCACGTGCCCGCACACTTCGCTCATCTCCCCCTCCGCCTGCTCCTCTCCTCCCACCTCCCTCTCTCCCTCTCTCCTACTCCACTCATCCTCTCCTCTCCTCTCCTCTTTTCCCCTCTCCCGGCCGACCGACGGCGACAGCAAGCAGCGCGCGGCCCCTCCCTCCCTCTCCCTTGACTGCGGGCGGGAAGATGGGCGGTGACAGCAGGCGGCGGCGGGCGACCCCGGTGGCCCCTCCCCTCCCTCCCCTTGCAGATCCGGCGGAGGGGAGGCATGGGGCCGGCCGATCTGGCGGCACGCGGCCCCTCCCCTCCCTTTCCTTGCAGATCCGGCGGAGGGGAGGCATGGGGGCCCAGCGGATCCGGCTGAGCGGCGGCACGAGGGAGGCAGCCCGTGCCCCTCGGTGGCGGGAGGCGGTGGGACGGAGGCGGCTCGCGCCGGATCTAGAGGTGCGGCGCCGGTTGGAGGTGCAGCAGCGTCAACGGCCGGCGTGGAGGTGGGGCCGCCGGCAAGAGGTGCGATGGCGTAGGCGACCGGTGGATCCATCTCTCCCCCTCCTTCTCTCTTTGTTATTTGTGACTCTTTGTGATTTGTGCGATGCGTTCTTGGAGTTCATTTGTTGAACATGTGAGATGTGCTCTTGGAATTGATGTGAGATCTGTTGTGTCGATGTGCGACTACGGATCCGGCACCGGCGACCGCGGGGGCGACGGCAGCGGATTAGGGTTAGGTTTTTTTTCTTTTTTTTTTTCGATTTTTTGTTTTTCCGTGTGGGCGATCGCGATTTTCCCAGATGACTGGGTGCGTGCGGGCCGCCCACCCGCACGCAAAAATCGTTTAGCCCACACGGGAGAATAGGTATTGTAGTAGTGGTTGTGATTGGTTAGGAAAAAATATTGGTGAAGAAATTATTATATTTTGAGATAAATACTGAAAGTGAAAAAATATTATATTTTGGTATCGAAAGAGTAGTAGAACAGAAGTGCGAGAAAGGAAATCTAGTTAACGAACAGGAGGGATCGCATTGTGAAACAAAGAGTGGAAAGTAGGCCAGTTAAGCGCCGTGTCTCAAATGTCATCAGAACACAACAATTCTTTTACACGAAAGCATTTAACGGAGTAAAATGTCTATCTCTTCTCAGCATACCGTTCTTTTTAAAAAATCATATGCAAAGTTTCACCTGAAATTAATAAAATAGCTACGAAGTGAGGTTGTATCTTGTGGTGGAACTACCTCATCTGGATTCAATCTACACCTGATACTGATGATTGTATTGTAGTTAATTATTGTTTTAATGGTAGACGATGTACCCGTTAACAGTGATATGTTCATGATGACTTTATCAATCTCAATATATATATATACCGACTTAATCTTATGTAAATACTCATAGGTAGAGGTGTGCATATGTGCGTTTACATAAGCGCGTTATGAGAACATGCATTACTATTGGTTCCGAAAGAAATTAATAAAACAGTAGATATTTTCCCAAAGAATTAATCCCAGTATAAAAGAAAAGGTAAACTTGATATAGCAAGTGTTAAAGTGGCCACAAGATAAGACAATGACATTTTAAAGCAAAACTGGAATCAACCGAATTGTGTAATCGAGGAAGAGAACATACCTACACCGCGCCATTTAGGAGACCTTTTGGCAAGAGAAAATAATCAACATATACATAATCAACCAGAGAGTCCCGGCAGGGGCGACCTGAGAACACACGAAAGACCAGACCGCCTCATCACCGTGTGTTCCCAGCTCGCCCCTGTAGGAACTCCCTCGCGTTCCATCTCTCTGTCTCCATCGCCGCTGCCGATGCCGATAACGATGCCGATTCCGATTCGTTCCCTCCCCGCTCTCAGCTGCAAAAATCTCCGGGCCTAATTAACCTTTGCTGATGACCGGATTAATGATGGAGGCTGCGTTTGCCTGGCCAAAACGCAGGCAAAGCGCTCACGTATTATAGACTCTTTTCCACGGGGTCGGGAGGAGGATGGCATCGATTGGCGTCGTACTTTTTGCTGCTCCATCGCTGGGAAAAGACTCGGAGTACGTGAAGTACGTACTACACTGGCTTTGCCCGAAGCCAAGAGTACAGCTTGTACTACTGCCCCGGCTCCCCGCAGTACAGTGCCTTCCGCCGCAGCCTCCTCTTATCTCCAAGTCCGCAGGTTGCTGTCCAGGATTAATTAGCGGACTGACGTACGTACTTGGACAAACATGCCAGTCAAACTGCATCTTGGGACTTGGTTAATTTGCAGATTAGCAAGATAAGTGTGCAAAATGGTTGTACACGAGGATGATGGGCTAGTTAGCATGATATTTTTGTACGGTGCCTTTAACTTTACAATAAAAATGTAGAACTGTGATTAATAATAACTACTTTCTTCGTTTTATATTATAAGTAGTTTTTATTTTTTCTATTCAATTTTTTAGGTTTAACTAAATTTAAAAAAATAACAACATCTACGACAACAAATTAGTTTCATTAAATATAATGATAATATATTTATTTTGTGTTAAAAATTGTTACTATACTTTTTATAAACTTGTATACTTTTTTATAAACTTGGTTAAAAGAATTTGACACTGAAAAAGTTAACGTGAAATGTATAAACGGAGAGAGTAGTACTGTGAATTCTTTTGATGACATGCATGATTAACTCCACATTGCAAGGCACGTCGAGTACAACGCATCATCCCATGTTAGTACAAGTACGACCATATAAGCAACATAAATTCCATATATATCCTCCCTCCCTTCCACGAAAAAATGGCAAATTTTGCTATAAGACATCACGACATCGTGGTTATATCTGTAGGACACCGCACGAAGTGACTTTTGAGGAAGACAATGTGGCCTGGTTTAGTTTCTAATTTTTTTTCCCCGAAAACAACCCATCGAATCTTTGGACACATACATGAAACATTAAATATAGATAAAAACAAAAACTAATGCATAATTAGTATGGAAATCGTGAGACGAATCTTTTGAGCCTAATTAGTCTATGATTAGTTATAAGTGCTACAGTAACCCATATATGCTAATGACAGCTTAATTAAGCTTAAAAGATTCGTCTTGCGGTTTCCAGGCGAGTTATGAAATTAGTTTTTTCATTTGTGTCCGAAAATCCCATCCAACATCTGGTTAACATCCGATGTGGCACCCAAAAATTTTCTTTTCGCGAACTAAACAGGGCCTATGTAAATGTGGTTATTTGCCACGGGACACTGCATCCACTAATTTAGTATTTTTGTGCTGACCAGGTGAGAGGGGACCCACATTTTTACACAGCGTGACCAAATTGCCCCTCTTCCTCTTCCTATCTTCTCTTCTTCCTTACCTCTCTTCCACTCCCTCTCCTTTCTCTCTTCTCCGGCAAGCCAAACGATCCGCGAGCGGCGGCGTGACCAGCGGGCGGAGCGCGCGCGGCGAAGACAGGGGTGGCGCAGTGTGAGGACAAGGTCCTCGCCATGAAGATGCCACCGTGCCGCTGGCCTCTGGAAACCGCCTGGGAACGTTGCCGCCTTTGGAGCCCTTAGTGCCGACTCCTCCGCCGGGAACCGCCGCCGCCGAAGTTCGACGCCAATTCCTTCATCGGGAACCGCCACCGACCTCAGGAAACCGCCTGGGAACGTTTCCTCCTCCGGAGCCCTCAATGCCTCCTCCTCCGCCAGGAGCCGCCGCTGCCAAAGTCCGGCGCCGATTCCTCCGCCTGGAATCACTGCTACCGCTGCAAGCTCCTTGATGAGCTCCGACGAATGCCGAGCCGAGCACCACGCCGTCGCGCACCGCCTGCAACATCGAAACCTGCATCATCCCAAACCGGATAGAGAGAGAAGAGAGATAGGAGAGCTAACATGTGGCCCATGGGCATTTTTGACATTTCACGCGATTCTCTCTTCTCTTCAACCGGAAATTATTATTTTAATGAGCGGGATGTCTACCAGCAAATATCCAACTTTTGATAATGCCTTCCCCTAAAAGTCACTTCGCACGGTGCCCTATAACTAAAACCCGGAAGTCGTGATGTCCTGTAGCAAAATTTGCCAAAAAGATAAACCTACGACAAGATATGACTGTCACATCCATCCTATCGTAGGTTTGTTTTTATAAGGACATGGAGTACTCTCTCCATCCATAAAAAACCAATAGGCTGAATATGACACATCCTAATACTATGAATCTGGATATAATGTCACATCCAATTCTAGATTTGTTTTTCGTGGGACGGAGCAAGTAGGTCCCAATGAATTATTTCGTCTGTTTCAAATAACATGTTTTAGGTTTTCAATCTATTCAAGCATTGATCAATATATGTGCTTTGTATATACCTTTAAATTCATATGGATACTAGTGAATATGATAAATGGAGAGATTGAAGCGTCTTATAACGTGAAACTGAGGTAATAGAAAAGATCTCTAAAATGAAAAAAAAAGTTTAATTGGATCCCTGCAATCACAACTATGCCTAATTGACAAAATATATCTTTCTTCTCTTCTCGTTCTCTTCTTCCCCTCGCCTCCTCCTAATTTATCATCCCTCTCCTCTGCCAATTACATATATGTAACTATTTCACATCAATGAATATAGGTAGAGACTCTCTACCTTTTCTCTTTAATTTTTTTGACAAAATAACACTAATATTTTCGATACCAGCTAGATGCTATCAGTATTTTGTAAAAAATAAACCATGCCATTATATACATCACGGAAACAATTAGACCGGGTTTTTACATCCTGTATTTCATGCGGACCAAAATGCTCCTAGTATTAGAGACTGACAAGAGAGATCCACCTTGTCATATTTCTTTTCTTCCCCAATACTTCTATCGGGGGCGGCTAATTCGCGCGCGCGCCAGTTTGCAGCCCCTCCCCCCCCGCGGCGTTTTTTTCGCTTTCTTTTTTTCGCATTTTTTTCTTTCTTTTTTGCTTTTCGCTTTATTTTCTTTTTTCGCTTTTTGGATTATTTTTTTAATCTTTAGCACACGTGTTTTTAAATAGTTTATGTTGAAAGTTTTTAAATCTTGACTTAAAAATTTTCAAATATGAATTTGAAAGTTTTTAAATCTCTCAGATCTGAGTTGAAAGTTTTTAAAGTTCGAGTTGAAAGTTTTCAAATTTAACTTGAAAGTTCAAATATCAAGTCGAAAATTTTAAAAATAGTTTCAAATTTTGAGTTGAAAGTTAGAAAGCTTTAAATTTCACGTGAAAGTTTATAGATTTCTTTTCACTCTATTAGTTAAAAAAACCGAAGAAAGAAAAGTATTACTACCTTAAAAAGAAAAAAGTAATCGGATAATTATTGTCATTATCTAAAAGTCTAAAACTAGTTATGCTTGTTACTCCCGGAAAAAATGCGCTCTGGTGGCACGCGGGCGCCATCTAGCTTTAATTCAAGTAAAGACTTTTTTCGCTTCTATCCACTCATTATCTTGGTGGTTGCGGCAAGCAAGTGACAAGCAATCAGCGACGACCGGGTGGAGCGAGACGGCGGTAGAGCAAGCGGGAACATCAGCCGCGAATCGAGTAGCAGCAGTTGCATCAATGGAGAAGCAAGCAGCAGCGGTGGTGGTGGTCAGCGGGAAGGCGACGGATCCAGTACGTGGTGGGCTTAAGCAAATCAGGCGGGGGAGAGGCTGTGACAAGTTCGTCGCGGCGGTGGTGGGTCTAGCAGCAGCGCCAACAGGTCCATTAGCGGAGGCGAGTCTGGTTGCGGCTTGGCGTACGTGGAGCGGCATGAGGAGGCCCGGCGCCTGCGAAGACTCGAAAGATGGCGATGAGCTCCATCCCCATCCTTCTCGAAGACGATGGTGACGGCGGCGCGAACAAGACTTGGAGACCTGCCGCCGTCCTCCTCGAGCTGCCGTGCACGGCCCGGTCTCGTTAATTAAGCTTCCGCCCTTCCTAACCCGACGTGGGCCTGGTCGAGCTCTCAACAAGCCATCAGCTTCGTCGAGCTAGAGAAGGATTGAGTACGTGGATTCCACTTCTCAGCCTCTAAATGTTATAGGTATTTTGGTCGTGACTATATCGATCGATAGTGGTAGCTGGTTAAACAGCTACTCCTTCATTTATAAAAGACACTATCCATCTATACTTTAAATACAATTTTCTCTTAAATTACTTATCCGACTTACGATCCGATTACACCGTTGTGTTCGTAGCAATTAAATCTTTATAACAAGATCTCACATGATTATATTTTTATAAAAAATAATAAATTACTTTTATAATATATCTAAATTACTTCTTAGACATATAAAAGTAATTCAATAAAACCTAAAAGTAATTTACATATATTATAGAAGTAACTTATAACAAAAAGAAAGTAACTTTAATTAATATATTTTTCTCATTGGACGTGACTACACAGCTAGTGGTAGCTAGTTTGTACTCCATCTAATATCTCCTTTTAACTTGAACCATGCAAAAGTTACTTTCAATTAACATTCAAGTTACTTTTAAAAATTGTTAAACTTATGTGTGTTGATCTATGCTGATTAAATTTAATTTCTAGTCATATTTTTATCCCTACAACGAATTTACTTCTAATGTCGTGACAAAGTTACTTACATTTTGTTTTAAATTACTTTTATAATATATGTAAATTACTTTCAGACTTTATTGAATTTACTTTTATATGTCTAAGAAGTAATTTAGTGAAATCTAAAAGTAACTTATATATATGATAAAAGTAACTTATGTATATAATAAAAGTAATTTACAAACATAAATATTTTTTATCGTAATATAATCATGTAAGATCTTGTTGTGAAGATTTAATTGTAACGAACACAATGGTGTAATCGGATTGTAGATCGGATAAGTACTTTGAGATAAAACTTTGTTTGAAGAAAAAAATGACATGGGGGAGAAACTGTAGCCTTCTTCTCTGTGACTCTCTCTGAAGCAGGACCCGCGTGTGCGTGTGGTTGGAGATCGGACGGCTTTGCCAACGTCGCGCGATAGCGCTAAAACGAGAGGGATCTCGAATTAGATTTTACGTAAAAAATATGGTATGAAAAAAATCCGGTCTAACTGTGTCCGATATAGTGGCATGATTCAAATTTTATAAAATACCAATGGCATATAACCGATATCATAAATAGTAGCGGTATTTTTTTAATTTGCCGAAGTTGTAATGGAATGGATCCAATTAAAAAAAGGGTAAGTCCATTTTACACCCTCCAACTCTTCGTTTTGTCTAAAATACACCCAAAACTCTAAAACCGAATATTTCACACCCTCCAACTTCCAATACCGTTCACTTTACACCCTCGAGTGGTTTTTCAGCTGGTTTTCGCCTACGTGGCATTAATGTGGAAGTCCAGTCAGCAAATAAAAATAAAAATTAGGACCTTATGTCAGTCCATAACCACGGTGGAGCCACCTCTTCTTCTTCCCTCATCTCCTCTTCACTTTCTCTCTCTATCCTTCTTCGTCCCAGAGCAGGAGAGAAGCGGCGGTGGCATTCTTGAGCTCATGGAGCAGGAGATCGGTGGCGGTGGAGCAGGGGACTTGTTGCGGCGACAAAGCTCAAGCACATCCCTAGCCTTCCCTTCTGTGCGAACCGCCGGCGAGCCCAAGCTCAAGGTCCGCCTCTCCTGCCGCCTTCAGGAGCTCTATCTTCTCCACGAAATCGAGCTTGCCAGTGAGCTAGAGCTGCTTGGGGATGTAGAGTTTGGCGGAGGTGACGGGGCTTGGGGACGCGTGTGGCTCCGGCGAGATCCGCCTCTTTTGCGCGGGGCAGCAAGCTCCACCGCCATCGCTGCTCTCCTTGCCGGCGACTGCGTGGAAAGGCTTCCACCGATGACTGCCTCCGCAACCCTAGCAGCGCCGCAGCCCTCGCAGCCGCTCCACATAGCCACCGCTGCCGTAGCTGCCACCCTCGCAGCAGCTCCATGCCGCCGTCAATGGTCACGAGGGAGAGAAACACAACAGGGCGAGGAGAAAGAGAGAGAGAGAGAGAGACAATATGGACTTGGCCTATATTATTTTGTGGGCTGACTTGGATCCGACATGTCAAAAACCACGCTAAAAACAGCCGGGGGGGGGGGGAGGGGGGTTAAGTGCGGAAAAGCTAATACACGCGCTCGCACCGGCGGCATGCGTTTCGGGCCCAGAAGGCCCAGTGCCGCTGCGCCGGCGCGCGCGTCTCCTCCACTTTTTTTCCTTTTTTTTAACCCTTTTTAAACCTTTTTTCCTTTTCTTTTCACTTTTTTCTGATTTTTTTTATCTCTAGCATGTTTTGAGTTTGAAAGTTTTTAATTTTTGAGTTGAAAATTTTCAAATCTGAACTTGAAAGTTTTTAAATCTCGACTTGAAAGTTTTGAAATCTTAAGTTGAAAGTTTTCAAATCTTGATTTGAAATTTTTCGAATCTCGACTTGAAAGTTTTCGAATCTCGATTCTTGAGTTGAAAGTTTTCGAATCTGAGTTGAAAGTTTTCAAATCTCAAGTTGAAAGTTTTTAAAATTTGACTTTAAAATTTAAAACTTAAATCGAAAGTTTTCAAATCTAACTTAAAAAATTGTCAATCTGTTAGTAAAAAAATCTCCAAAAAAATCTTCAGAATATTTCCTAATTGATATCATTAGTGTTAAGTATGTTAATAACTAATATAGTTACTTAAGACTAAAGCGGGGAGGAGTGCTCGCTGCTTGTGCACACGCGCCAGCTAGCAGCTCCCGGTTAAGTGTCCGTATTGAAAGTTCGAGGGTGTATTATACCGGTTTTGTAGTTTGGGGGTATATTTTGAACCAGCATAAAAGTTCAAGGGTGTAAAATGGACTTTTCCCAAAAAAATCACAACCATAGAAGCCCATGGCCCGCTCCGTGTGCGTTGCGTGTCTCCGGCCCACGTAAAACTACGCGAAAATTGCATTAAAACATCCTTTTTCTCCCTCACCGGCCCACCGGCCCAACTGTTATCATTTTTCTAAGGAATAAGTTCACTGGAGGTCCCTCAACTTAACCACAACATCAGAAATGTGTACTCCTAAACTCAGTCAAACTGTTCAAAGAAGGTCCCATGGAAGTATTTTTTGCTGACTAGGATGTCACGTAATTTTTTTAATTTCTTTTGCTGATTAGGATACCATGTGAGTAAAACCGGACAAAAATACTGCCATGGGACCTCCTTTAAACAGTTTAGTTGAGTTTAGAGGTACACATTTTGGGTTTGTGGTTAAAGGATGTTAATCTCGCTGTTAAGTTGAGGGACCTCCGGTGAACTTATTCCTTTTTCTAATTTGCCTTGTGGGAAGTCCAGCCGGGCACCGGCGGGGCGCCGCCTGGATCCCGAAACCGAAGCATGCGGCCTCTCCCGCCGGCCGTGGCGGCGCGCCTCGCCGCCGTCCGCGCCGACCCAGCCGCCGTCCCGCTCCCGTTCTTCAACTCCCTCCTCTCCGCGCTCGCCTCCTCCCACGCCCACCTCCCGCTCCACCTCTTCCGCCGCCTCCTCCTCCCGCGCCGCCGCCCCGACGCCTTCACGCTCTCCTCCCTCGCCGCCTCTCTCCTCCCGCCGGCCCACTCTCCCTCCGCCTCCGTCACCGCCGCCGCCGCCGCCGCCGGGTGCCTCCACGCCTTCTCCCTCCGCCTCGGCCTCCTCCGCGCCGACCCCGTCCTCGCCAACTCCTTCCTCCTCCTCTACCTCCGCGCCGCGTCGCCAGGCCTCGCGCGCAGGCTGTTCGACGAAATGCCCGCGCGCACCGCCTCCACCTACAACACCCTCATCTCGCACTCGCCCCCGGGTGTCGACGTCTGGCCCGTCGTGCGGCACATGGTCGAGGACGGGTGCGTGCCGGACCGGTTCACGGTCTCGTCGATCCTGCCAGCGTGCGAGTCCGAACTCCGGGGCAGGGAGCTTCATTGCTTCGCTCTGAAGAGTGGGATGTGCGGGGCAGGCGATTTCCATGTTGGGAGCAGCCTCGTGTCAATGTACTTCAGGGTTGGCCAACCAGGACATGCACGCCGGGTTTTCGATGGGATGGAGCAGAGGAATGTGGTTTCTTGGACTGCAATGGTTGGAGGGTTCACAGAGAGCGGGATGTTTGAGGATGCCGTGGATGCTTTCCGGGCAATGTGGGTGATCGGTGCTGTTCTGCCAAACAGGATTGCGCTGATTAGTGTGCTCTCAGCTGTGGAGGCCCTCACAGATTTGGCTGCTGGGAAACAGGTGCATGGCTTTGCGGTCAGGATGGGATTGTCTGGGGAAGTATCCCTGAACAATGCTTTGATTGTTATGTACGTCAAATGCGGGGTCTTGTGGTATGCACGGCAGATCTTTGATGATGGTAGATGGTGCAAAGATGTGATCTCGTGGTGTTCGATGATTCAGGGGTATGGCCTTCATGGGAAGGGTGCAGAAGCAGTTGCCCTGTTTGATCAGATGCATATTTCTGGGGTTAAGCCAGACAGCATAACTGGCTTGGGTGTGCTTTCAGCTTGTTCTAGGGCAGGGTTGGTTTTTAAGGGCCTTGAGATATACAACTCTCTGGTGAAGGATTATGGAGTTCATCCAACTGAGGAGATGTCTGCTTGCATAGTTGATTTACTTGGTCGATCGGGGATGATTAATCAGGCCTTGGACTTTATAAAGTCAATGAGTATAGAGCCAGGCCCTAGTGTCTGGGGAGCACTTCTGGATGCCTCCATTGTTCACAATAACAAAGAAATTCAAGATTTGTCCTGCAGATACCTTCTTAGACTGGAAGAAGGGAACCCATCTAATCTTGTCTCAGTATCTAATCTGCATGCCTTTGATGGAAGCTGGAATATTGTCGAACATGTGAGGGCTAAGATTAAACAAGGGGCATTGAAGAAGATCCCTGGTTTTAGTTGGATAAATCCAACATAATGAGGTAATAATGATTGCAATGAATTATTAATGGTCCTCTCAGCATATCCCTGAACCCTAGCAGCATTGTTTAGCTGGTTGTGCTATGGAACCTGTTATATTGGACATGAACAGACACTACAGTTATTGGAATAGGCTGCTTTGATATATAAATACAGCTACAGTGCTTCTTTAGTTTTGTATACTCATTGTCTTATACCCTCTAGTATTGGAGTCTGCTTTCTAAAGCGACAAATTGCGTTCCTTAATGATGAAATTGTCCAAAATTTCCATTCTTCTGATGTCCTCATGCACAAGTAACCCATAATTCCATCTTTTTGTTAGGAAAAAGTCTACTATACAACTAACGTAGTATGGTCTGTCTACTAAATCCCTTGAACTACAAAATTGGGTCTTTAACACCCTAATGTATGGGAACTGATTCAAATAATCCTGGGGTGGTTTTCCCAGTATGGTAGTTGATGTGCAATGACTCGAGCAAATGGCGCTGACATGGTTGCTCATTGCCACTGGGCTGCTTCAATTCGGTTACTGAGTGCAGCTGCACTCTGGCCACCGGGAAAAGGTATTAACTGAGGAAGAAGATGGGAGTGAACACTGAAACATGGGAACTAATCATCGCCATGTCATAGCCACGTTAGTTGCCGCCTCCAAACCCGCTGCTGGGGATTATTTGAATCATTTTTTCATCACTTAGAGGAACAACACTGGGTTTCGTACTTCAGAGGGTAGGTGGAAGGGGTTAGACTAATTACTTTCTGTTATTTATGTATTTGGAGTTTTGTTTGTATATTAGAAGCAGTTGTAGACCTATTTATATAAAAGGTAATTGCAGGGAAACCTAGAAACGGGGTTGTGGAAAACACAACATTGGAAGTACAGTCTTCTTTGGCTGTTCCTGTTGAGATTTGAGCCCTGCTTTGGGCTTATTGGTAACATGTTAAATTGTTAACCAAATATGTTTGACAATATCTTTTATTGTTATTTTTATATATAACAGTGCATAACTGCATGCTGTGTAAATAGTGTCATCATACAAAAGTAATCCATCTGTTTCATTTTACTTGTCATTTATGACGTGATGACACAGTCTCCAATACAAATCCTTGACCATTACTATTTGTATTTGGATGTCCATAAAACTGTTAGAAGTATAATGACTGTTAGATCTCCATAAAACTGGCCACAAATCTGCTAATGTCACATTTTATGACTGAAGTTTCACCCCCTTTTTTTTCGTGAATCAGGGGCTTCATTTTCATTCATCATATGAAGGAGCATAATCCTTAGCAACGCAGTTACAGAGGAAACCAAGCACCAGCTCCCACAGGCAGGCCTGCCTACATCCAGGTACTAGCTTAGCACGTGTACTTCTCATAGCTCTGATGTCATGCAGAGAACATCACGGAGCACCAAACTTCAGAAACAAGAGCGTTGGCCAAGTGAGAGTACTAGCGAGCCTGTGTCTCACTTTAAAACTTTTCAAGATCTACTCTAATGATCATTTGAAGTGCCAATCTTTTCCACTTCATTGTAACTCCCATATGCATATTGATCTTGACATAGGTGACGTCTAAAGGTGTCCATTATTGGTTCAGCAACATAACTTACCAGATTCCTTAGTTTCTTTTGCTTCTTCTAGATCAAAACCTACATCCTTGCCCACACCGGTTGCAATGTATTCTTTGGGCCTCCCCACAGAAACTTAGAATTCAAGAATTCTTAGTTACATCTACTCAAGAAATCAAGATAGACCACATTCTGACAAAGGGTTGTTACCACTTGATCTCCTCCACCATTTTGATTAAGCCTCTGATCTTATGCTTCTCTACACTCATAATAGCTCTCCTCGTACCCTGGCCCATAAGGATTGTGCATTTGTTCGCAATCTTCACCCCTGCATTTCAAGCACTTGACTTTGGTTTTGAATGGTTTTCCACTTTTGCCGTCACATCCTTCACTTCTCAGCATTGCTGGTCCACCAGTGTGTTACTGATCATGATTTTCTTGCATGTACAAACTGACAACATGAAACAACTCATAGAATATATTGGTATTGCTTGCACCATTGATTTAATGAGCACCTCCTGACCCGCATACTCATTTTCTCTTCAGTCCAGCCGCTCACAAGTTTCTGAACTCATGAAGGAATGTGTTCCAACAGCAAAAGGGACACCTAGTGAGCATTAATACCAACAAGAACAACTCGGTAAAGGAACTGTGGTCTTGAGTATTTTGGACTAATACTTGACAAATGTTCATCACACAATAAGAATAAATACAGCGAGTTGGGCCTTCTGTCTGGTTGTCTGAGAAGGGTTGAAGTAATTTGAAAGCTGTCTAAAAATTCACCCAAACAGAGAACTTCGGACAAGCGGCTCTATAGTAGTCTAACTCTAACCTCTCTCACCAATGAATGGCAGCAACAGCCTCAGCCCAGTTCCTCATTGTGCGAGGCTCCCCTGGCTGCACTGCCCGACTGGTCTTTCTCCAGGCTGCTCTAGATCTGGACTGGCGCACAGTGAGGCACAGGATGATCGATTGTGGCTCCAGATCAGGTGGCCCAACCATGGGAGGCCAGCTAGCACATCGGTGGCTTGTGGTAGACCTGCCAGCGAGTTAGCTTCCACAATGGCTGTGGTGGGGAACCAGCACATGGGCTTCAAGGTGAAGGAAAAGATCGAAGACAGGGTTGAAAGTGAAAAGATTGGTTAAAGGAGGTGCAGACTGCAATTCACACTAATACTTTTTACATATATTATTGGGTATTGTTAGTAGCAATTCTTTTGGAGTTTAACTCCACCCATTTTAAAATAATATCTACTTGAGAATATGTTGGAGGGGGAGCGGGTACTTGTTTTAGACTAGAATACTAGTACTCCTTGCAATGCATGCATGGTAGGAATTTATGTCAACCATATAAGTAAAGGGCATTATGCAACATACAAGGAAAAATGACATTTCACCTACCAGGCCAGTAGACTGCCAAGCTGGTTGTTGAAATTTATTTTGGTGCATATCAAGTATGCCTTATTGATGAAGACATTCTGATCAAGTTTAAATGTTGGATTCTGAGGATAAGATACTTGGCACTACAAAATAGATGCAATACCATTAGACCTTAGACTGTGGGCAATGCCAACAACCATTGGCCACTAGATTGTCTTCCACATGTTATAAAATATTTGAATTAATCCAATATGCTTGGAGTGCTTATGGGACTATAGACATAATTAGTTGGTACTGAATTAGATAACACCGCCATGCTTAGTTGATATGGGGTTTGCTACACGAGATGTCCAGATCGTACATACAATGCAGTGCTGTGGGTTTGTGGTATGCAGATGTTGTTGGAAATATCATATTCTGTGCTTTGGTTTCTATTCACTCAGTTAATGAATATGCATTTTAATGCATTTTGTTTGAATGATAATAATCAGGGTTGATTATATCTTAGGGGATGTTTTCCAAGACCAAGATCAGTTTATGAGTATCAGTCCATTTCTGGGGCAAGTTCATTTTTTTTCTCAATTTTCTTTGAGTGTTTGTAGGGTTTTCAACTTCAAACAACATATGAAGCATGTATGACTCAAATGAACACTAGCACCAGATAATAAAACATATTCTAATGGGGAGCACTTTAGCTCTCTGACCTCATTGGGAGATCTGGTTCATGGTAGTATCTGTTCAATTACTGAGTGGTCACTAGCTACCCTCATATTGATTTATGCTTGCAACTTCTGTAACTTCCTTGTCATTATCAACCGCGAAATCTCCATCAATCTGGCAATCTTATCTTGTAGACACCTACAAACCGCGTGTTGAAGTGATGAAATGATAATGCATAGCGGTCCATGATTGAAAACCAATCGGGGTTCATTGAATAGAGAAACCCTGCTCTGTCATATGAGGAAGTTGCTTCGACGCTTACATGATCAGTGTACAGTGATCGTGGCTTTCAAATTGTGACAGAATTGAGTGGTACAAAACAGATAAATCCCTGTGTACACATTAAGCTTGATTGCATAGGTGATGCAACAGCAGGTATGACATCCAGAGGCTTTCTCTATTTCTACTGCAAAACTTGTCCTGATTCTTGCATTTAAAACTTGTGGTCTATTGTTGTAACATTTTGCTGAGATGTACAGATCTTTGTTGTCATAATTCTGTGATTATTATTCTGGTCTATGGAATGCCATTTGGCTTGTTCATCAGTGCTGGTTAATTTGTATCTGTTATTAATCTGTGATTATTGTTCTGGTCTATGTTATGCGCTATAATCTGTATCTCTCAAGAAATTGTTCACAATTATGCTTTCTTAGTTATATTTAGAACATGGTCAAAATACGTTTTCTTGTTTTGGCTTGTTAGGTTGCTATCAGTAGTTGGTGAACAATAACAGCCTTTTCATCTTATCTTTTCACTGTTTGTGAATGTGCTTGGTATTTACTTGCGATCCATTTTCATATGGTTCTTGCAGTTGAGTGATGCTTATAGAAATAGTTACCATTGGAGGAGCATTTGTAGTGATCAATGTTGGTTGATAATGCTGGGACATGAATTGACAGTAAATCTCTGTTGTTTCTGTAAAGATTGCTGGATATATTTGTATAGTAATGCATTTGTTCAAGACTTTGTTCATATCCGGTTTCTTGATATGTCAATTTCATTATTTTCTGTTCAGTTGCCATCACCCATCTATCATTATACAAGATATGATGGGCAAATTATAACCAGCCATTCAGTATCATAACATTACGTAATCATTCCCCATACTGTATCCAGATGGAGGTCGGTACTAGACTAACACTTGCTCTGAACAATACTGTAATACATGTATTGAATTTGACCCATTATTTATTCGTATGTTTTGTCATGCTAACCTCTATGATGGGTGTTATGAAAGGTATTTAGAATGGTAGACGGGGCTTTTCTTGGCATTATAACCCTTGAGTAGAAAGCTTTATTTTAGCATCCAAACGAGATAAGATGGCCACCATTTTATTGGCATGAACTTGCAGTAGGTGTTGTGGTAATTTTGCATGCTTTTGTTGCTATGGTAAGAGGAAAGCATAAATGATGGTGTTATGAAATCTGCATTTGTGTATGTTGCTGTGTTCTACTTGTGGCTTGAACCAAGTGTTGTGCTATGTTAATGTGTTCCTGATGATGAGAGCAAACAATGTATGTAGCATATTTCCATGACATCATGGAGTGACAATTTATATTTCCCCTTGTTTTTGCTACTTCAATTTTTAATCATTTGTTCCATTGTTTCATGTTTTAGTTCTTTCTGATTAAAATATTTGTTCTTACCAGCTTGTTTGGCTAACTTTTCAGTAATCTTTGATGCCCAGACAGATGTGAGAGTGGAAACAGGAAGTCAGATGGCCATGTGATATCAAGAGGTAAACTGTCAGACCTGCGTCATGATAATTGTCATATTTCATCTGCCTCTCCCGCATTGCTTGGAACTGATGTCAAAAGTGATTCTTTGCTTTGGTTAATGCCATGAGCAAGGTGCCATCTAGATCAATCAGTCCTTCCCTGATTGGGCCGTCACTGAATTCACTTTCTGAGGTGACAGAAAGTTTGGTCTTGTGGCCCTTTTCAGAATATCTTGACTTGTGAGTCAGGATTTTGCAAAGTTAGGGCCGTACAGTTCCATGTTGGTTAGGTCCTCGCCATCACACATGCACAAAGAAGAGCACAATCTCAATTTAAGCATGCTATTGACTGGAACAGCTTGAGGAACTGTAGCCTTTCATCTGAATTTTTTGGTACCATGTCTTAATTATTCTGGTTTAAACATGCTTTGTGTAGGCTGCTCGTGCTTGTCTTGTAGATAGCGGCATACTTATAGCTTGTTGAGTCATTTAATATGATTATAAAGCTCACCTACACCAAATATTATTGTTTTGAGAGGCTTGTCCACTTCTGAGTTGATTTCTGCTTCAGGAAAGCTGGATACATATACACAGTGCCCTTTCTTTGGACTGGCTTGCTCTACTCAAAGGAGGTAATTTCGCACAAAAGGCAACAGCAGAGATGGTTCACATCAGGTACATGCTTGCCTTTTACCACCAGTTCCTGGCATCTATCATTCCGTCTATCAAACGGCAATTCTTACAGGCATTGCTCATTACCCATATTGTAACCTCATTTTTATTCTCGATCGTCTTGTGGGTTGCCCTCACGAAGTAATTGTGATGTGGACCTGACAGAGCACTGATAACCAGCCAATCATGAAGTTGTACCTTGTGCTATTGAGCCCCGTCTGCCCATGAAGAACTCACGTGGATGGGATCCACCGCGCCACTGTTGGATCCAAAAGTACGCACTTGAGCAAGAAGTAAGTATCCTGGCGGCCGGGCCAGCTGGAGGACCGCCGGCGGCACCACAGCACCGAGGCCAGCCAGCCGGCGGCACAGTTGCTCCGGGCGCGGCGCGATTCCACTGCACGGCCAAGGCCGGGCAGCGCCGCGCCTCGGGCGCCATGTCGGAGGGTGGGATCATGTGGCTGTCACATGGGCAAGGCTAGCAGAGCTGGCAAACGGCGAGGCCCCCGTCGGCACCTTTGGGCTCTCCTTCGGGACAGCGACGGTAGCTGCTGGGGCCGGGATCCCCATTTATTCCTTCTGGCGTGGCCCCGCGGGCTGGGCGGGGCGGGCGCGTCGCCCTCTTGGGACGTCGCTCTCGCGGCCAGTGAGATCGCTGGAATGGGACACAGAGGCTGGAAAAAACAGGATGGAGGGAAGGATGGAAGGATCATTTCATTTTCTGTCATCCTGTTCTGGTGCCCGTAGCACCCCCGCCATGATTGCGCGTTGTTGGATACTCGGATTGGCTGCCTGTCCGTACGTGATTGGCACCACCCTACTGCGCCTCCATCTAGGTGATCCCCCCTCCCTCACCCTCTTCAATCCATCTGTTACAATCCTGTTTGTCATTGGTATATTCCCCTGTCCTTTATCAGCCATGGATGGTGGCAGTAACTCAGGTCTCATATTGCTCAGGAAGCTAATGTTGCGATGGTGGCTATGTATATCAAGACTCTCAAGTTCAACCCAAAACACGAAAATCTCACTAGAGTAAGCTATACCATCGCTGGACCTTAACCGAGTGGGCTGTTCGTCGTCGTGTGGATGACAGTTAAGATGACACAGCATGCCGCGTGCGTGTGTGCATGCACCAGCTTTGGGATGATCAGTGAGAAGGAATGTTTGAAAGCTGAAGTTGGGGACTAATCCTGTTGGAGCACCTGGCATGTTGCATCATCATTTGACAGTTACGGCCCTGCTGAATGAGGTTGATGCTTTCACCGATTTGGACCACATGGGAGAGCGAGCGAGCGTGTCTCCCGAAGCTTACACCGTGAAATTCTCCGATACAGCTCAGACCAGACCTGCTGATCCCCCTCCTACACCATAATGTCAAGACATACTCACATACATACGTACGTCCCACTTTGGCTGCATACATTCATACTACGTGGGCACCTGTCGTGTATAAGTATAAGCAGGCAATTAGAATGCTGCTGATCATTCATCATCTAATGAAGCTGGGCACTATAAGGCTGATATTGGAGGGCACCCGTCGTCCCTGTCACGTGTACGGACACGTGCACGTGGCACGTTGATTTTTGGGGTTCAAAGTACGATACAATGGGCATACTATAGCTTGTCCTAACAGTCGATGGGGGAACCTTGTGCAGTTGCTGACAGCGGACGGGGGCTGGCTGATGATAATCGTGTGCTGCAGTGTGCAAGTCGACAGAGGCTTCTGACGTATCCAGTTGCCGAATTGAAAAGGCCACGTACATCGATACAGATACAGCTAAGGCATTATCGATGCTCTGCAAAATCAAATATATTCATTCCCCTTCCAGTGGCCACGCTCTTCTACACCTCTGGTACGCTTGCTACCCAGAAATCTCTTGTGAACTTCCCTATGAGCACTATCAATGGCAGGTGATCTGAATTCTTTTAGCAGCAGTTACTTATAGTTATATAGTGCATACAATGTTTTATGCCTCCGTCTCAAAAGAGTTTATTTTTACCTATCTTACATATACCAATATAAACCCAAAAAGGCTACAAGGGTCTCTCTTTGGGGATAACCTCGCTCCGTTCTTATCTACCCTCGAATCTGATCTTGGGTAGGCGCTTGGGCAAGTCCCTATTTTCTAAACAGCCCTTACTTTCTCACACTCCAACGTGTTTGTCTCCTATTTTCTTAAACTCCAATATATTTATCCTCACTTCTTAAACTACATTACGTTGATTGCATTAAAGATGGAGTTTTTGTGAGGCAAATGAAAAAGGAAAATTAAAATCTTCATGGGGTGGAGTAGTTGGGGTCCATACTATGAACAAAATTTTAAAATACTATATTCACGCGCTATGCCATAGTGTCTTTTCCATCCTCCAAAGTTTTTAACACCTTAAATGGTGACTAGATTGGTATGCACTTCACCATCTGATCTTAGGAAGGCAGACTGGTAGGCCCTGCACCTATTTTTTTTTTGGTATAGTTTATTCCTTTATGAGAAGGAAGAAACTATAATTTCGAGTCAATGGGCTGCTGGCATGAAGTAGTCAAAACTGCAATCCAGGAATCCTCCATAATGATTAAGATGTGCCTTGTGCAGAAATAAAGGCAGGTGTAAGGACTACTTGTACAATCTAAACAGCACATAATGAAGGATTTGCACCAATGTTATTGTCACTGTTTTTTTTTTCTTCAGATTTATGTTAAGGTTTCATCTACTCCCCCTGTCCCAAAATATAAGGAGTTTTGGTTGGATGGGACATGCTGCCTATCTAGATTCGTAGTACTAGAATGTGTCACATCCAACTAAAACTTCTTATATATTTTGGGATGGAGGGAGTATGTTTTTTTAGCAACACCTTTGGAATTACGAGGTAAATTTCAATTCATGTGCAACAAATTAACATTATAGGCTTCTACAAATAGCTCTTTAGTCACTTGTATGTATGACAAAATTCCTCACATGTACATAACTTTCCATTCGATTATATTCTAAGGCTGTGTTCTTTAGTTTACTTTTCCAACTTCACCTCTCTTGTTTTTCTAGCACGCGCTTTCCAAACTGCTAAACTGCTAAACGGTACAATTTTTACAAAAAATTTCTATAGAAAAGTTACTTTAATAATCATATTAATCCATTTTTCTATTTTTTAGCTAATACTCCCTCCGTCTCAAAAAAAACTAATTTAGGACTGAATGTGACGCATTCTATTATAACGAATATGGACAGAGTTATGTCTAAATTTGTAGTACTAGGATGTGTCACATCCAGTACTAGGTTGATTTCGTATGGGACGGAGGGATTACTTAATTAATCATGCACTAAACCATCGTTTCGTTTTGTGTGCCATGGTTGAAGAGTTCCCAACTCAAGCTGGCAATGACCTTAGAGGAAATACCCAATCACATATATGAACTGAAGATTAATTCTTTATTAACAATATGTCAAAACTCTAAACAGGACAAGTTTAAGAAGCCGGCGAGGAAGAAGAAATATTGGAGGGCAATTGTTCTTTTGTGCTGGCCACAACGACCAGCTGCTAGTGAAAACTCAACTGTCTGCAGGGGATAAGAAGATGAAGCTCTGGACACATACAAGATAAAAAATGAAACTTAATGGTCTGCAGGGGATCAAACATATCATAGGAGCATGGAAGGAATGAGTGAAAACTCGGATGTAAGGTATTATCTCTTTAAACACAGGGAAGGTTTCAAAGTTTTAATGAATAGCTTTATCTGATATTTGTATATAACTTGATTGATTTTTTTTCCTTTAAAGTTGCATCCCACTAGGTAGAGTATATGTCTGGTATTGTGATCAAAATGTTATATAATGCCAAAAGTAAAAAAAAAATGTTTATATTTCTTTCAGCAATCAACTTTGTATGTCTTGCATTTATTGAGGACGCAGATAATGATGGTAATTGATTAACATTTGGAGTTATGCAAAAAGTTCTGGAGTTATGCAATAGGATAAAGATAGAATTGTCTACTGGATAATCAGTCCATTGGATCATCCTACAGATGCTCTGTAAGAGCTGTATTCATATTAAATACCAACAGTTTAATACTTCTCTTAATCAAGTGGTTCACGAAAGCAATGAGATCATGAAAGCTGCTGCTGCGAGAGGGGGGGGGGGGGGCGTTCTCGGTGGAATGTTGTATCGATTGGGGAATGTTTTTCGTGACAAGACTTGAGACATAACCAAATGAGACTGCTGACATGACTAACCAGAAATCTTCATTATTCGGTACAGCTATTATTACGGGATATCAAGTTGTCAATTATAAATAAGTGAAGCATAGTGTAGTTCTCCTTTTGGCAGAGTAAGGAAGCATCTTCCAAGTAGCATAGACAGACAACTTTACTAAAGGCTATTTATTAATTTTTTTAAAAAAACTTAAGAAATATTATAAATCGAAATTGCGTCTCATCATCATCACCTCCATATTACGTAAACATTAACCAAGTACATATGAATGTCAACTCTAGATTCCCTACCAACCATTAGATGTACACAAGCTCCACTACATAACATTCTGTACATAAAGGCCCATGGGTACAACAAAATTTGGGCTCTACTTGATGCATCTTAATCTGGCCTCCTCATCAATGTTAAACCTAGCATCCATAGCACCCCTTTTTTTCCCCTTTGTTGTGGCATCCATCTCCTGAACTCTGAAGCTTCATCTACTCTGAAGCTTCATCTCCCCCCTGTTTTATAGTTTTTTTTTGGACCCTGACTTGGTTTCTGAATATTTTGGTGTCTGTCTCTGAACAGAGTTTGTAGCATGCAGTTCTTAGCCAGTTGAGTGCCATGTTGCGCCTCAAGATATTTGATTAATTGCAATTTGTTTGCAGTTAGCAAGCTGATCATGGTTAATTCCTTAGCAAGTTAAATCAATCATCTTGTGGTGGCGGTTTGGTGGTTCCATGCCATGGCAATGTCCTGTGCAACCTTAACAGCATCTGAGGAGACACCAGAGAGGCCTCTCCTTGTGAAGCCAACAGAGTAGAGCCCTGACTCCCCCTTCCAACCATCTGGGAATGGCACCCTTGGGTACCCCTCTTGTGTGAAGAAGTCACTTCCCTAATCATGACAAGCAATTAAGAAATTAATCAGTGAAATGATTTTCGTGATTAAAATAAAGTACAACAACATGGAGCACACTTTTTAGTACCTAACATCTTTCTAACTGCCAAATTAACATTAGAAAGCCCTAACTTTGTTAGGCATCATTATCCATCTTTTTTTAGAAGCCTTTTCCGGCAGAATACACCTTGCTTTGTCCTCTCATAAATTAAGTCCTTGGAGAATAAATTAAGCTTTGAGTTGGAACTTAGGTGGTGTTCTTTCCGTAATTGTTTTCACTTTTAAAACTCAGTTCCGATTAAATATTGTTACGTTAAAGTTTCAAAAGCTGCCCACTATCGTAACTGCAATTAATAATACTAGTAAGTAGTAAGTTTAAGTAATAATTAATTAACGAATTTACCTTGAGCCACTGGGGGACGTTGCTTTGGTATCCGGTGGCCAGTATGACGGCGTCGGCCGGGACGCGGCGGCCGTCGACGAGCTCGGCGCCGCCGCGGAGGAGCCTCCTGATCCCGGGCACGACCTCGATGTCGCCGGAGCGGATCCTGGCGAGCGCGCCGATGTCGAGCACGGGCGTCCTCCCCCTGGTGTTCTTGAGCTCGAGGGGCCCCCTGGATGGCCTGGTGATGCCGATCTTGGCGAGGTCGCCGAGGAAGAGCCATGCCAGGACGACCAGGATCCTGTCCACCACCCACAGCGGCAGGAACCGGAGGAGGAAGACGGCCACCGAGAACGTCGCCACGCCCAGCATCTCCCGCGGCAGGACGTGCACCTTCTTGCCATCACATAGCAACAGGTCAGACATGGCGCTCAATTCGATCATATCAAATATATATATATATATATATATATATATATATATATATATTGTGTGTGTGTGTGTGTGTGTGTGTGTGTGTAGTTTTGCATGCATGGACATTGGATGCTCACCGAGTCCCGGACGACCATGGCGGGGAGGGCATTGTGGTGGCAGAGGTCGAGGCAGACCTCCATGCCGGAGTTGCCGCAGCCGACGACGAGGACGCGCTTGCCGCGGTACGCGGCGCCGGACTTGTACTCGGCGACGTGGGACACGGGGCCCTCGAAGTCGTCCGCGCCGTCGATCTCCGGCACGACGCGCTCCGCGTTCTCCCCCGTGGCCACCACCAGCCACCGCCCGATGTACTCCGTGACGTCGCCCGCCGCATCGACGCTGACGTCCTCGGCGCGCACGCGCCAGAGCCCCGCGGCGTCGTCGTAGCGCGCGGAGGTGACGGACTGGTTGAAGCGCGGCTCGACGCCGGCGCGCGCGGCGTAGGCCTGGAGGTAGTCGACGAACTGGCGGCGGTCGGGGTACTCCGGGTAGCCGTCCGGGAAGGGCATCCCGGGGAGCTCGCAGAAGTGCTTGGGGAGGTGGAGGCGGAGGCGGTCGTAGGTGCGGCGCTGCCACAGCGACGCGATGCAGTCGGCGCGCTCCAGGAGCACCGACGGCACGCCGCGCTCGCGCAGGCACGCCGCCACCGACAGCCCCGCCGGCCCCGCCCCGACCACGATCGGCCCGTTCACCCACACCACCCTCGCCGCCATAGCCGCCCGCGCCTGACCGGCCGGAGTGAGACTGTGAGAGTGAGCGAGGGACAGCGAGAGCGAGGAAGTAAGTAAGTAGGGTGAGATATGAGAGTAGCTAGGCAAGGCAAGGATGAGGAGGAGGGGGAAGGTGGTGAAGGGAGTGAAGGGCGGGAGGGGGGTATAAATAGGGGAGGGAGAGGGTGGTTGAAAACTTGGAAATGAGCACTCTCTCAGCGCGTGTGTAGCTGTGCCTGTGCACTCGATCGATACATCGTTTGTTTAGGTGTGTGGAGGTATACTTTCTTTTTCACTCTATGTCTTGGACCGTTGGACATCGGCACCGTCTTTCGACCCTACCTTTTTTTTTATAAAAAAGAACTAATTAAATAGTCGTAGAAATAGTATTAAAAATATAAAATTATTTTTTGACAAATGTATTAGTGTCTTGATATTTTCTACTCCCTCTGTCCCAAAATATACGCAGCCACATATAGTCCAAAGTTTGAACTACACGGTTGTGCTTATTTTGGATAATTTGAACTATATGGCGCGCTTATTTTGGAACAGAAGAGATTGTATGGATTTTAGAGGTATAAGTGCTTCCTACATTTCAAAATAAACCAACTTTTATGCACGAATCCTAAAATAAACCAACACACGCATCTGAATATAGTTTGAGAGTACTAATTTCAGTTCTGGCATTGGCTCTACCGTACTACTTCTTTTGTCCTATAAAGATTTCATTTCTAGCATTCAAATTTTCTCACAAAAACTTCATTTACACATTTTACAGCCAATAATGCTAAAACATAGGCATTAATTTGGAGCCTAGGAAATACAACAAAGAGTATTAATGATTGGCACCATTGTCTCACTACTGATTTATTTGAGAATTGTTAGAAATGATTTTTTTTGGATGGATAATGGAGTGTCTTTTTCTTAAGTTAATAGAAGTGGAATTGTGGGCGCCAATTTGGGATAAAAAAATATTTTTGATGTTTTGGTGTTGAATGGATCTTGACTTCATTTTTTGAGAAATTACAAGTCAGATTGTTGGTATGTTTTTTCACATACTATATAAAATATTGTAGCCAAATAAAATTAGTGTTATGTTTAAAACTTATTCCTTTTTGTAGGAAGGAGCCAGCTCTTGGTCGGTGGTAAAGTCAGAGGTGATGAGTTGTTTCTCAAGGTCATTGCATTGACCATTATTTAGATTATTTGCAGGAAATTTCAGATCCATTTGATTTTTCAAATTTTATTGAAGTTCATTCAGTAAAAATACTTTTGGAAAAAAAAACTCTCGGTGAGATCGATCATCTGATAAATTGAATCTCGCAAAGATCTCTATCTATATAGGACCATACCTAGCTTGACTTCTACACTATACTTCATCAACCAGCTGAGTTTAAACCCTAGTCCTTCCATTTATCCAGACTTGTGTTTGCGTTAATAGAGATTTCTTTCAATTTAACAGATTTACCACATATCGTCCATTCTTGGTTTTATGGAGGCACACTACCTTAGCATATGTGTACATGGCAGCATGATTGTACATGTCTTCTTTATAATATAGTTTGAAGCAAAGTTGTCACAGTTTGCAAATCTTTCTAAGGGTCATCACACAAACCGGCAGGCCTAGCACAACAATCACAACAATCTTAAGGTTTCACACTTGACAAGTTGACAACACATCAAGGTCCATGCATGGTGTGTCTGTTAGACCACACGACCAATTAATTATAATTAATACCTGATCTGCATCCAAAACCTCTCAAACCAAAACCAAGTGCTGTAGCTCGATCTACATGTATATGTATGTATGTGGCATGAATGGAGTGTACATGTAGACTACTACTACTACAACGGCATGGTTGCATGCATGGGCAGTGTACAGTACAGTAGTATACTCTACTGCTACCTGTGAGAGATAGAGTTCTCTGACTTTCGGCCGGCTAAGCTAAGCTATGGCTAAGGCGAAATTGGGAGGAAAGTCAGTATAGTCCCAGCTCCCAATTTGTTAACTCATATTCCTCACCTTTCGGAGGGCACGCGGTGCCGGTGCTTGCAGCAAAAAAACAATATAAATGCATAGTATTATGCACATACATAGCTAGCATGATGGCCCATCAGCTGCAAGAGTTAAATTTGTTTACATACATCAGTGGAGTGGAGCACTGCATGCCTTCTCGTACTTTACAATTTTAGTGTACTACTGGCATGCCGATCAACGGCCGGCCGGTTACTTGTGTGTCCGCGTCGGTGATTAATTAACTGGGGCCCTACCCTGTGTTTGCGTTTTCTAGCTATAGAGCTATCTCGGTTTATAAATATATTCAATAATTCTCAACATACTTATAACAGCATGATCTTTAAGATATATCTTTAGGTATAATTAATTTTATTAAATTACTCGCTCTGTTTTATACTCCCTATATCTATTTTTGATAGTTATATTTTCAAATCTGAAAAAATTATTTTTGATAGGCATATTTCAATCCAACAACCTATCATCTTAATGACTTTCTCGGATTTAATATGTGACTCTCCATTCTTCCACACAAAATTGGCTACATGGGCATCGAGAAATGTAAATATTAATGAACCGCTTGTTTATGAGGAATGGCTAGTAGTATGTTTAAATAGATGATAAGTAGAATTACTTATCCTTGGTCTGTGTGCCAAGATAAAATATGACTATAAAAAAAAGATGGAGGGAGTATTATAAATTGTTTCGACTTTTTTCTATTCAAATATTTTTAAGTAATTATAAACAAACATATTATTAAAATATATTCAATATTATAATAAAATAAATTTGGTGTTGTAGATGTTACCAAATTTTTTTATAAACTTGACCAAACTAAAAATGTTTGACAAAAAAAATTAAAGCAGCTTACAATACAAAACGGAAGGAGTGCTTTTTAAGATTAATCTAAATATCATGTTATAGTGTCTCTAAAATAAATATTGAGAAAATTATTGATAGGCAAAGTTTTAATTGTTTGATCTCAATAAAAAAGTGTCTCTAAAATAAATATTGAGAAAATTATTGATAGGCAAAGTTTTAATTGTTTGATCTCAATAAAAAGTCAAAAAATTATGGAAGCTATAGTATTTTTTTCAGAGACAGCTAGAATCCTAGAGGGAGATAGTTCATCTTGGAACAATTTGATTAAATATCAGAATCATAACATATTTTAACTGTGCATATATATTTAAAATATCGACATGGTTTAACTGTCCAATTTTTCTATTTATATGTTGTAAAATATATATAATATGTGCCTAGGGTATCATGAAATAGAAAGTGTACATATAGAGACTCTTAATGCCATTTATACATGACAAATATATGTGCTTTTATATGAGTTTAATTTCTAGTACTCACAATATATAGGCTGCACGTTTTTTTTTTCATTATTGTTGGGTCTTTCGCTCTTGGAGAGAGTTTGCTTTGTTTGCTCATTATTTGTTTGTTGGCCTAGCTATCTTATTTGTAGCTAAAATTTAAATTTTTGGTGTTAATTTTTGTAACAATGACTTTTATACACCTAATAATACAGATGTAATAGTTCTACCCGTAAAACATATTTATTTGCTTTGTTTATGGATTATCAGTCATATCTCAATAAATTACGCACCATCGTACGTACGGTTCGTCCCACTCCATCCCAAAACCATATCCATTCCCTGTACCGCAAACAAATAATTAACCATCTCGTCCCTTATCCAAGAGAACAACCATGCAGTCCTTTCTCATCCCACTAACTAAACTATACATGGTTTTATTGGATTCTGTTAAATTTATGGTTCCATGTATATGCGGGCTTAAAGAGGATCTAGAAGCATCAAGCTATACCCAAAATTGTGGGATGTCTGCCAATTAAAGGAATTGCAGTGGCAAATGCCTCGTTAGCAGCTTCGGCAGCATATATATTGTTTAGGCGGCATATCACATTATATTATCACCGTGAAACATAATTAAATCCTGAATTTTTCATCCATATTGGGGATTGTGTGGTGATCCCTACTGGACCTTGATCTAATGGAAACTAAAAAGCCGTGACTTAATTTTATCTTAAAATAAGGTGTCTTAATTTATCTCAAAAAAGTATAAACCAGTCTCCTTATTCCGACAAACGGCATATTTGAGCGTCGTTTTCACTCTTGGATACGTGGTCAAGACGTCTATCTTCCTCCCTGGTGGACCCACCAGATCAAAACATTGTCTTGGTTTCCTTTGGACCTAGATGGATGGCGGACGGTGTCACCCTTAGTCGTGTTTCTTCCTGCAAACGTCATCTTGGGGGGGGGGGGTGCACATTATCACCAAATCCACTCTCAAACAATATGTGGGAAGCTCTTCGATGATGGCAAGTCGGTGGGCTTGTGCAAGAGAGAGGGATCTTTCTGCTCTCTCTCTATTTGCATCCTTTTGCCTCGGCAACATCTAGGAGGCTAATGTTCAGTTGCTTGGAGTCGGCGTTGCTCAATTGTTTTGTAGCTCTTTATAGGATCTAGCAATGGCTGGTTTCTGCTATCCCTTCCTCAGTGGTGTTGGTGTATGTGGGCGACATAGGTGCATGTGGTGGTACGTTTGTTTTTTTTATCTTTCAAAGTTATAGTCTAATAGCCTTTTTTTTAATTAACTAAAACCTCAGAGAGGACAGGGAGTGCCTGTTTTCATTTAAGAAGGAGAGACTTGGTCCAGTTTTTCAGGAAAAACCGGGCCCAAAAACCTCACATAAGCACAGTTTAAAAGGGCAAACCGAGCAAAACCCACACGAAGAACAAACCAAAAACTTGCGACAGCACAACTGAAGGACATAGGTCATCGTTGCCGAGCTCATAAGAGCAGCTCCGACTTCCTAACAACACACCACAGACAAAGTAGCGTAGGGTCCTTAAGACGAAGCCTCCAACGAGCAAGGTAGCGTCGCAATGCCAAACAACATCCGTCCGAACACCGGAACAAGGTTTCACCCGAAGAAATGGGAAAGCAAGCTAGGTAACGATGTCTTCAAGAAGGAAAACGGAGCCCACAGACGCCGACATCGTTGGCTCTCACCCAAGATCGAGCAGGGCCTTCGCCCTAGCTCTCTCTCCCTGCCAACTACAACAACCCAAGCTGCCATAGCACTGACATGA